ACAGAAATTTTCTAGGAGAAAGATGTCTTTACACTTTTTTCTAGTCAAACAACAAATCCAAGGTTGAGAAGAATTTGTGTAGGGAATATTTTTGTATAAAAACTGTCTTGATCATACAGCTTCTTAGTAACCATCACAAAGGCTAAAAGTGTCAGTGGACGAGATTCCTCATGCTGTCCATTCCAAAATAATTCAGGAGGCTGTCAGTCGATACAACTGAGGAAGTAATAAAGATAGTTATCCTCATCAATAATGTGCTCTTATTCACCTATTTCAAGACCTCTATACCATAAGCAATATGAATTTTCCTCTATGGTACAGTTCATGCCTCTCACACTGTTCTTTTCTCTTTTGGAAAATATGTTTTGATGTAGACATGAGTCTGGTCCTAATTATCTGACTAGGAATGAGATGAGTTGGCCACTTATCCAAGCCTCTTTGTTATACCTAGGAAGAATCAGATTATTTCTTTGAGTTTGTATGCTGCCTTTCTACCAATATTTAATTTATAGAGTCATAGAATTATTTGGGTTGGAAAAGGACTCCATGATCATCAAGTCCAATCTTCAACTTTTATCATCATCCATTACACATATATGACAGAAGCTCTTATATAGCCAGTTACAGCAGAAACTAAGGTCCAAGAAACAAATATTAGGGGAAGAACTTTATGTAAATACATCAACAATTGGCCTGCTGGCAGGATTAATAAGTTTGATTTGGTCTTCTAGGGTAAACATTCCTGAAAATTTGATTTGGGGATCCACAAATTACTGTCCACACGGAAAATAAAACTTTTCTCACCCATAGGGAAAAAGGAGAGGGAAGTGTCATTTTGCTCAGGCACAAGTGTTTTTTCTTTCTGCTCTTCTCCTTGCTGTTTATGCTGGCATGGTCAATTGGACTCTATTTGGAAAGAGGAGAGCTTTTACAGTGGATAATCCTTTTTGTCCTTGAAAAGCCTAAGAACCTTGTTGTTTATCTGCTGGATTTTTTTCTATGAATTTATTCCTATTTCTAAAGATTCAAAAGTTCACTGGTAAAAGCCTAAAATCATATTATTAGGATATTCTGTCCAGTTATGACTAATACATGTAAGAGTACACAGAGATGGTAAGGTTTCCACAACAGGTAAAATGTTATGAAAGTTTCTTTCTGTGTTTCATTTGAAATGCTGTCTTGCACAACCCTTGGATGCTAATGCATGTGATTAAAGTTTAAACTTACACCCAGAACTCATTAATCTGCTTAGAGCTTCCCTCAGCAATATCAGTGAAAAGGTATGCACCAAACCTGATAGAATTACCCTGTTTATGTAAGTTTGGAGTATAACATCTCATTTACAAAGGGGATACACCTTCTTTTATATGCCTGGGAACTCCAGAGGAACCTTCCTTGGAGCACTGTGACCCATCATGTCTGGGGCAGCACCTGCTCTCAGAAGGGGCGTGCAAGGGCTGCCAGGGAGCTAGGTGTCACTCTAAAAATCATCTTACAAATAATGTGACAGAATTTGGAATAGTTTAATTTACATACACATTGTTTCAATAGCATGTGCTGTAGCTCTGCCAGCAGTAACAAGGTCCCTATTTGCTTGTTGTGCTAACAAAGGGTGAAAAGCAGCAGGTTCAGCACAGATCCCTGCAGACCCCTCTGGGGGCATCATGGCCAGGAAGGTACTGATGATTCAGTGAGTGTTTGGCATCCTGCCTTAGAATGTTTTCAGCAAACCTCATATTGTTTGTATTGAGTGTGAAAACTCAAGTTATACAACATTAAAGTACACCTTTCTACCTAACTGTCCTTCTAACATTTTAGGAAAGAAATTAGATTGATTTAATATAGCTAATCTATCCTATTACATGTCTCTTTATTGTTTTAAAGGTACTCACAAGTAGTTAATTTCACAACCTGTTAAAAGAAAGTCTGATAATTGATGCTTGCTGGTTTGGGGATATCTTTAAAAATTCAGCCCTGTTTGTCTTTCTCTAGGCTTCTGCCATTTCAAAATCCTCCACAAATCTGTGAAGGCTCCATCTGTGGCACCAAACAGAGCAGGGCAGGCTGGTGACTGGGATTGCTCAGGGCACACTCCAGAGCTGATTTATGCTGGGGAGAGACAGTTGTCTCAAACTGAGCCATGAAGTTTTACAATTGGCAGCCAAGGTTCAATGCCTAAGCTTTTTGCTTGGACCTTCTGTATAGAGCAGTATGCACGTACTGAAAATTGCATTAACTTCTTTCAGGCTGCTTCAGACTCATTATCTCATTCCAGGCTATATATAGCACATCTGCTTTGTCCTCATAAAACAACAGCCAGAAGTGCAGCACACAGGCAAGCTGCCTTGGCAAGTTGCCCACTGAGTAATTCCTGCCCCATCAGCATGCCCCCAAGATATAAAGAGAACGTGGCAAGGGCAGAAAACTTTACCCATAGAGAATTTGCTGTCATTTCTGATCTGCAAAGATCTTTAAAATAATTTTCTACCTTTAAAACACACTTTTGTGTAAAAAAGAATGCTTCAAACAGGTGGAATTACAAGGTCACACATACCACAGCCCTTCAAATATGTAGTATTTAGAAATCACCCTCTGAGATTTTGGCTCTCTGCCTATATGTAGGTATTTCTCAGACAACATTTTTGTCTGATCCCTCACAAGAGAGCAGACAGAAGTCAGGAAACATCAGGTCACTTATTTACTTCAGCCCATAGTTTATAAAATCAGACAGGAAGGTATCTCTTTCCAGACTTGCTGACTACCCCTTGCACAGTGTCCCAGATTCTCCTGTGGCTCTCTTTCATGCCCAACTTTCAAGGTAGCTTTTGAAGGCTAAAGGAAGACTCCTCAGGAAACAAAGCAGCAAGGTCTCCTGACATGAGCAGATTAAGACAAAATAGCCCTGATGTCCTTCACTGTATGACAGGTTTCAGGCTGGAATAATGTGAGGGGTGTTCAAATCTCACCCAGTACTACACAGAGACATAGGGAATGAGCCAAGTGTCTCAGCTTTAAGTTTTGCTTAACAAGATCTGGCAACCTGTTTTTGCAAAAAGCTTACTCTTGATCTCTCCATGGATTCTTTGGATCTGCTTCCCTCTAAAGGCCATTTAGTGAATTATTGTATTGTCCTGAATGTCAATCAAGTCTTAATGTGAAATCAATTCTCAGATGTATTCCTTATCTGGAGAGGTGTTTGAGCTCGATGAAGGAGAGAAATACTTTCAGGGTTATTTCTTGTTGTAAGAGATCTTAAAAGAAATAATTTAGCAGTAAAGGCAGAGATTTATATCAGCAAGCAGAGGTTTTCATGATAAAATTCTATGTAAAAATGAGAGTCAAGCGTGCATGCTTTTATAGTTCCTTATTGCACAAAAAAGTGAGTTACAAAAGCGAACTGGTTTGTCCCAAGAAGAAATTGGGGTCTGGCCATCCTTGCTTCCAATCCCATGCTCAGAGGAATAAGTGATTCTTTCCAGATGGACTGAGGCATTTGACCTCTCAGGCATAGCTGCAGAATTGCTGCAGTTTCATGTGATCCCAGGTAAGCAGCTTTGTGATGCTGTAGGTCTTGGGCAGACTGCTTCTTATATCAAAAAGTGAATTTCTCCTTCAGCTGAGATGATGGGCCATGAAACTGAGACCTTTAATTGAGGTGTTGGACTTCCATTGAACTCAGAGTATAAAGATAATCACAAGCTGGAGTGGCATGTTAAGAAATGGGTCGTTTTGCCTGCTTGGTTAAGGAAAAAAAAAGGAGGCATTTAAAGGGGATACCTGTTTGTTATTTGGGCAGGCCATGGGAAATAGGATAATCTCTAAGTATACTGGTAATCTGAGTAATAATCATTGTCAGCCAGCATTTTTGCACAGCTTCAGCACTGTATAGACATCTCTGGAGGGGAGGGGATCAAATTTTAGGTAAATGGAGTACATCTCTCCAGACCTCTCTACAGAAGGAGCATGGGAAATTACACTCCTGAATTAAATTGAATGAATCAGGGTCTGAAAGAAAGGCTCATACAACTTAGACAGAAGGGAATAATTGAGATACTTAAACACAAGATATCTGCAAAGTCCTTAAAATACCTGAAACTTTCTGCAGGGCTGGAAAATATGGTAAAGAAGACACACATCCCCCAGTTAGGGCACTGGAAGATGCTTTAAGACAATTAAAATGGCACTAGCCTTATATGCTTATTACTTGAGTTGCTCCTTAGCTCTTTTTTTAGCGTACTCTAAGTGCCCTAACCAGAGATGAAATTGTCCTTTGGGACTGCCTCTCTTCTCTCTTCAAACTATAAGAATCTGCCCAAAAAATTTGAGGCAAATCTTTTAGCTAAAGCTGGCTAAGCTGCATCCTGCCCTGATATAAAGATATGTCTTTATCATCCTGCCCTGATATCAAGATATAAAGAATAGGGGTCCTTAAATGTTTTAGCCTCTTCCAGGTGTAATGTGAATCCAGGTGCCTCCCAGCTATCTGGGGTCAGTTTTTAGAGACTGAAGTCTCCAGGTGCATTTGCCCACGCTGACTGGGTCTTCACCAGGCCCTTCATCAACCCCACCATCATTGTCCACTCTATGTAATTTATTTCACTTACAGCATCTATTTTGGTGGCAATGAATTCATTTGACTAAAATACAGACTGTCATGTGTTTCTGAGGACAGCAGGCTCTACACATCAGCTTTGCCAATAGACAGCACCTTTTCTTTATCTTCAACCTGATCCTAAATACAGTTTTAGTGTTTCTTAAGACTGCTCATCCGTCTGTTATGTAACCATGCAACCTGCCCTGCGATGTTCTGCTCAGTGTCTGCTGGAAACAAGAGTACTGCCACACACTTCACTCTTTCCAAGGTCAGCCCCAAACTATAAAGCTTGTACAGTTGCCATTGTAAGGCTCAGATGAGAAAAATGAAATTAAATTAAATTAAATGGTATGAGGAAAACAAATGTTTTCATGTACTCAAAAGCACCACCAACCAGGTCACTTACTGTAATTCACATTTAGTTCTCCTAAAAGGCTGAAAATGTAATAGTATCTGGAGAATTGATGCTTGGAAAGTCAAGTAGCCTCATTCCACAATTCCAGATAATACCAGAGGATGTTGCAGTGTCCCATCAAGGGGATTGGGCAAATCTACAGAGAAAAATGAGCATGTGTAACAAATCAATACCATGTTTGTTCATTTTTGTAATAAAGGCAGGGGGAAAGTGGCAGGACATCTCCCATATACACATATGTAGGTCTTTAACCTACAAGAGTGAAGATGTAGCTCCTGGCCAGGAATAAATGCACTACTGACTGTCACTGAAAATGGAGCTTGCCTTAGGAAGGGCAACTTTATGGGACATTGTGAGAGGGAAGCCAATGGACATTTTATGCTGTTGCCAGCACACTTGCTCCTGTGTCTCTCCCTCCACATCCAAAAATCTCCTGGGGTAATTTAAAATTGTGGGGCAGTTGAGATATGTGAATCCTCAAACAAGAAAACACTGTTCCATGAAATATAAGGTGCACTATTAGAGGGACCATTTAATATGCCCCATAACATCTGAAACTCTTCAACAGAACACAGAGATAGCTGAGACATCTAAAAGAGAAAAAAATAAATAGTAAGTAGGTGGGGTAAAGTTGAATGAGTCAGTAAAATGGGAAGAAGTGATCAATTTTTTACTTCAGCCTGTGAAAAGGAAAAAAATATAATGCAAGAAAACAAAAGCAATGGCAGAAGATTGAAATGGCAAAGGATTTCAGGTAGAGAGGTAAGCAGGTGAAAAACCTTTCCCTCCCCCATAGAGATGCCATGAAGCACAAAAGAATACATGTAAAAGCCCATCAGATAACTCAGCTGAAGAGCATCGTCATGGTTTCACCAACATATGCTGAGGTCTACTCACATGGCAAATTTGCAGTAGACCTTGCCTGGGAAAAGCATTATTTTTAGGATTAAAGCATTCACACTGGAACTTCCCTACTACGCCCCCAAATGCCAAAGTACAGAACAGAACAGATATTTCCATACAGATCACTTTGGCCAGAATACATTTGCCTCAAAAAATTCCCACCAACTCGTCCCATTCCACACTCTAAAATGCAGCAGTCTTGTAACAAGAACAGATCCAGAGCTACTCCCAGTGGGAACCTCAGGAGGACATTAATTAGCTGCCAGTTCTGCAAGTGCCAAGCAATAAAGTTCCCACTGACCCACCTCCCTCGCCACCTGCTGAGCATCAGAACAGCCCAGTACCACAGACCAGAGCAGCACATCCCAGCACCTCTCCCTCCCAGGAGTAGTAAATTATTCAGTGGACAAGGTCTGCCTGAATAGATACCTGAAGAGATGCCTGTAATTCACTTGAGGGCAGTAAGAGGGCATGCCAAGGCAAACACATTCCAGGCGACTTGCAACACCGTGTGAAATTTCACCCCATCATAAATAACACAGTAAATGTGAATGTTGCATTTCCCAAGGTACTGGTAGGACACAACCTTTTCCCTAAAGAGCAGACATGAAGGAAACATATCACTGCTGCTCCTTAGCCCTGAAAGGCAGATCAGATGGATTCCTGCAGCAGGGATGACAGTGTTATCCACTCATCCCACCTGCTGCCTCTGGGGCAAAGAAGGATGCTTCAAAAGCCTTGTACTCTGGCTGTCAGGGCACACACAGTACAAAAATACCTGGGAGAATAATGAGCAAAGTTGGATGCCTTCCTTTTCCTGATGTGACCTTTTCACTGTGTTCTAGCTGTCCACAGTACAATAACTCAATTTCATCCCAATTTGAGGCCATATCCTACCACGTGCATGAAAGCCAACCCACTTGGTATGACGAAAGCAGAATTTTTTGTTTGTGTCTATATCTTATTTGTCAACAATCAGGTTCAACCATCCAGGGATATAACAGGCATCATCTAAGAAGAGAGAAATCCTTCCCAAGTGTGACCAGTGGGGCTGTTCACAGACAGGACATGCCTCAGACAGTTGCCAAATTGTGGGTACTGTGTGGAGTTCATCACTGGTCTGAAAAGTTGCTTTTTCAGAGGTGCACAACCGGTCACTCATTTCAACAGCACTGCCTCTTGCGTTGAGCAACTCTAAACTCTTGAGTTTAGAAGGTGGGGCTCACATCACTAATTTTAGCAGTCTAAAGAGGATGTCTAAGGTAATAATCTCAAAGCTCTTCTGCAATAAGTGAAAGGAGACAGGAATCCCCAGAGAAATGTGTATGAGGTCAATGAACTGGACCACCCACTGGAAGTGTCCGTCTACCAGACATGGAGTTTAGAGTCAGTGGCTTAGGCTTAGGCTAAATCCTAAACTTGAGACAACTATGTTAAGACAGACAGATCCCATTCAAAATCAGTAAATGGCTCAGGCTTGTGGTTCACAGGTGTTTGTAATACAAATTCCTCATGGATTCCTCCCTATCCACAGCTGTGTTATTGAAGAGTAAGTCTTTCTTATAAAATGACCATATCTCTTATTTTGCTGTGCCTTCCTACCTTCATGCCAGAACACTCCTAAGAGCTGAGAGGCTCTTCCTCAGGGCTTGCTACTTCTCCTCACACAAGTTTTCCCTGCCCACAGGCAGCATATTCTGAAGTGCCAGACATTTCCATGTCTCTCAGGTCCACAGGAGACAGATTTATTTCCTCCAGAGTTGTTGTGACCAGTTTGTTTCTCTCTTGTCCTTTCTCACTTTTTTCACTGTCCGCTCCTGTTGCAGGCTGTGCATCCCCATGCTTTCATGTTGCTTGCATGGAGTATAAAAATGTTAACAGAACTGTTCCTCTGTCACTGTGCAGAGTTTGGGAACTCAGGGGAAATTCAGTTCCCAAAGAACAGATTTTTCCCATCCTTAGAAAGCCTATGGGCCCTGCTGCTGTGAGATCCCAGTAGCAAAATGCATTCAATTCCAAGATCAGATGTAGTGCAGGAAGCCATGCTGCCTTTTGAGATGTCAGAAGATGGGACCCACCACTAATTCACACAGGCATGGCTGGGAGTGGGGAGCAGTCAAGGCTCCCTGGATGTGGAGCATGGCCAGATCTGCAAGCTCTCCATTTCAGGGGAACAAAAGATGCTTCTGGGGATAGCTGGGGGCTACTGGAGCTCTGCACTGGACTCAGTCCATCACACATGGAATGCTGGTGGTTGCTGTACTACCCAGTATGGACCAGAAGCCACATATAGGACCCCAGGTTTTTACTGATGTTTGAGCATATCTATAGTCATTTTTGTGTAGTTGTGGGTAAGAGCAGCTGAGACCCAGCCTGGTCTCTGTGGAATGGCAAAAGGGTTGGACACTAAATGTTTTTTTGTATGTTCCAGTATTAGTCCTTTTCTCCAGAAGAAGTGGGTCTTCATCTTTTCATATCTATGTGCTGCCCCACTGCTTCACCCTTTTCAAAGACAGTAAGCAAAGGTAATACCTGATAGCTCAGCAAAGCTAGCTGTCAGTACCATGTCTGACCTGATCCTGCCTTATTCAAGCTGGGGAGAAGAACTGGCCTGAAGAACAGCTCGTTTCACAAAACAGATCTCATTTCTTATTCCTGGCAAAGTGCCTTTTCTTTCTCAGAATGCCTGGAGGGAACTGATTATTTTGCTGATCCTTTTCACACCCTTGGCTAAGACTGCCAAAGATGCTATGACCAGGGCCTGTCAGCAGTGCAAAGAGTAGTTTGTGATCTTTGCAAATTTAACACAGTAAATCCATTTGATGATGTGTTTTATTTGCTATTTGCTTACTGATACCCAGCCAGGATCCAGTGAGATTCCGAGTGACCACACACCTCCACCACATGACCGTGTCATATCAGTGGAAAGCAGATTCCCTGCAAACACTTCTGCTGAGAGCATACAGGCTCATTATATCAGACTCTGGTAACTACCTGCTCCATTTTACTCTATCCTGCTTAAATCAGAAGATTGGAAGAAGTGTCATTCAGCTGAATTGGATGAGACAACTCAGAGACAGGAATGTCCACATCCCACCTGGAAAGCTGTCCACACTCCTTTCACATCCCTTTTCACACATTTCAAGTTTCAGTCAAGGAACCTCTCATTTAGAGGGTAAACTATCAGCTTTCTCTTTTTTGATGGCTGAAATTACCATTCTTCCAAGGTCAGACTTTCTAGGACCAACCGTTTCTTTCACTTGCATTATCCGCCTGCCACATTTGCTTGTTCAGGGAGATAAGGCGTGTGATGTAACCCTGAAAAGAGCTTTTTCTTCTTACAAGTGAAATAATAATTGCTGTTTGCTCTCCTGTGACTGGGTAGAGGAACTGATTGCAAACTCAGAGCTGCATAGATCCTAACACTAATTGAGCAATGTCACTACAAAACTGCCATAGTGGAGCATATATTCAGGTTTTTCATGTTGTTTTGTGCTCTGGATTTTCCAGGTGAATACATACCAATGGAAATTTAAAAAATAATAAAAAATCTTTATTTTCTTTGAGCTTCAGTGTATTCACTTGGAAATCATATTTCACAAGAGGCCACAGTCTGATTATTAACTTTGGCAGCAGGTAAATTCACAATTCAAGAGTCACGTGTGCCAGTACTCATAAGTGACCAGAAATTAGAGGATTAGTCAGCATGTAACAGCTCTGCTTTAGGACAATGAGGAGAGGATTTCACTGTATCTATGTCCCTTTTCCCTGTTTTATATGCACCAAACATATTTTCCAGTAGAGGGTGCAAAATTCATCTCCAGCAATACAAAAGCACTACGTTCCTGCCCGCCTGTATTTGTGAATGACAAAACCTTTTCAGGTTGTAAATATCTCCGTTTGTAAATATGGGATTCGACATTAAAATATTTGACAGTAAAAAAAGTCATCCCATGACATTTGTAATATAGATGATTCCATAAGAACCTGCCCATTTTGCTTCCTTTTACAGTCAATAAAATGAGTTAGGCACTCAGGGACACAGTTCTCCCAATTCACCCTACATTTATCAGCTGAGTAGCTCTGCAGACTCCTTTGACTATGGTGCATGGAGCTCTGATGACTAGCCCAGATGTGGACAACTGTGCTTTGGCCATCCAAGCTAAACAGAATCCCCCCTTTTGCATTTGCCAGGAAATGCTCTACAGTGACAGAGTGGAACAGGGTTGCCTATAATGTGATAATGCCAAACACCACTTGTCATATTGCATCATACTCACTTCAGATGTAAATGAACTTGTGGGAAGCTCTGATTACTTTGTTTGTGGGGCTACCATCAATGTTGCAATACAGAGCAGACTGAAGGGTCATTTGCAGAGGCATTGAAGAAGTCTTGGCTGGCAAGGAAAGGGAGAGGAAGAGAGGTGTCAGTGTGGTTAGACCACATTGTTAGCAATGGCAGCTGTCACACAGATCGATAACTCTCTTTATTCAAGTGTCATCAATCCCTGTTACCACTTCACATAGCCTTAGTCAGTGATCTTTAAACTTCACAGACCACTGGATCTTGAGGAAGAGTTTGAAAGCTTGAAGTAAATCCTTCATGCTAAGCTTTCCTCATAACTGTTCATATGAAAATGAGCAAGTATGCATCATTATTCAAAATAATGACTAATTTCAGAGATAGAAATGCTGTGGAGATTTTATCACCTCCACTGAATATGATACAATCTTCAAACCTAGTTCTTCTGTGATTTATGTACTCCCAAGGAGTTTCTTTCAGCTCAAAGACATAACCCTGCCCCTTAAGCATATATGATACAGTCATCACACAAAAACTCTTCAGTTAAGGTGTCTCTGCATGCTCAGGTGCAAAGCCAGTGTCACATTTCCAGCCATGGTTCAGCCAAATGGGGAGGTTACACAGTGTGCCCTCTGTGGTCTCAGCATACAAAGGTGGGCAAAAATTTGCATTTTTCTGGAGTCTCTGGTCTGAAAATTGCTTCCTAGGCACAAAGGCATCTCAGCCTCACCCTCGCTCCCAGCAGGCAGGGATAACTAATGTAGTAGTATTCTCTTAATTTAAGAAGCAACAAGAGTCTAAAAAAAAATACATGAGCATACTAATACAGAAGGCAAGGTCAACCCTTTCCATCACCATTCAGAGATCCTTTCTGACACAGGCATCAGAAAGTGGTTTAGGAGCTGGAGAAACAGCACTCACAGCTGCTTCACACCATCAATAAAATACTCCAATATCAAGAAAGTAAATCCCTCATTGACTTTCCTCTTTTGGTATAGATCCTTCACTGCTATAATAATAATAATAATGCCACCAGGATGAGCTCATAATCATAGAATCATAGAATAATAGACTACTCTGAGTTGGAAAGGCTCCATCAGGATCATCAAGTCCAACTCCTGGCCCTGCACAGCACCATCTCTAAGAATCACACCATGTGCCTGAGAGCATTGTCCAAATACTTCTTGAACTTTGTCAGGCTGGTGCTGAGACCCTTTCCCTGGGGAGCCTGTTCCAGTATCCAAACACCCTCTGGGGGAAGAACATTTCCTGATATCCAACCTAAACCTCCCCTGACTCTGCTTCATGCCATTCCCTTGGGTCCTGTCTCTGGTCATGAGAGAGAAGAGATCAGTACCTGCCCCTCCACTTCCACTTTTGAAGAAAGTACAACTGGCAGTTAGTTTTTTATGTGAACCATTTAGGGAGCTGGTCATGAGCAGACATAATTTAAATAAGGCTGCAAGTCTCTGGATGCACAGTGTAGAAGTAATTGTGTGAACCAGTGCCTGGCTGTTCTGAAGGGAGACACAAGGCAGAGCAGGACTAGAGGTCATTGACATGACCTGGCAGTTTCATCCTTCTAATAGAAAATCTGGCAAGCTCTACTGATGAGTACAAATTACTCCAAAATTAATCATATGAGAGGGTGATTATACAGGGCCACCATCATAACTCTGGGTATTCCCAAGCTTGCAAATATTTTGGGACAATAGTCACTGAAGGTGATGGAACACTAAAGTGAAAAGTATTGTGTTGCAACAGTACAGAGTATGCCCACAGAAATGCTAAACACTGTTCTCAGTGCTCATCTGAGGATCAGGAACAGCTTAAGGTGGCTTATCTCACCAGGCATGACTTCTGCCATACAAGCAAAAAAGTGAAATCAGCATCAAATGCTGGAAGTCATCAGGGAAAAAACCTCAGAAACAAACACCTCTCAGGTCAATACTACTGCAGTCCTATTGAAAACAAATGGACATGACTCAAGCACTTTACTTCCCTATTGCAAAAAACTCAGCTGTTGTACAAACAAACCAGCACAGAATGTCATACTTTGTTGTAACCTGCTGTTTGAATGAAGATGAGGAACAATAGCGACCTGAGATTCACAACCAGCTCATTTGGGAGCTCTTCTGTTATGGAGTACACACCAAAGCAACTTCTCTTCCCAGACAGTGTAAAAAAAAAAAAAAAAAAAGGATGAGAAGCAAAATCCTAATGAAATTATTGTCCTGGTGGGCATTTTTAGGCCTGCAAAGCAAAGCTACAAAGGAATTACAAAGGAAGTACCTCTCTGTTTTGCAAGTAAATTTAGATAATTCCTGATAAGGCTAATGGACAGCTGTAATTATTACATACCCATCCCACTTCTAGTAATTAATTATCCTATGGATATACTGGTAGTGTGCAGTAGTATGTGAGAGCATTGACTGCAGAAGAAATTCTCTGGATAAAGAGAGACCCTGCTGTAGACACCATTTGTAGTGTCCTATTATAGATTTCTGTAAGGAAAGGGAAAAGAACATTTTCATCAGCTAAGAGAAGGGATGGTATGTGTCCTGGGTTGTTTCAGTCTCCTCTACTTATCCTAAACCATTATTTCTCTCTTGCTATTTTATGAATTGGTTTCATCAGTTTGTAATGGTAATGTGTTTAATGTCATCAAGCAAATGTGAAACTGTGGTTGGTGGGGTTGTTGCCAAATAATTTTTCTTCCATATCTAGGAAATAATAGTTTTGACAAGAGCCTGATCTCTTTTGAGACATAGTATAAGGCAGGGATATATAAAATAATTTGTATCACATCCTTTCAATATAAATTAATAAATATGTATATGAGTGTTCTTGTTTGCTGTGTTCTAACACGAGAGATTTTTTTGTGTAAGATCAGTAGGTGGTATTTCAGCCTTCTTGAAAACCTACAGAGAAAATTCTGCTCTCAGGGGTGTGCATCCTAGAATAATGGCGTTGTTTTATTTACTTGTGCGTATTAATATATTCAATGATGCCAGTGCCACAAAAAGAACTTGCAATGATTTCTTGGCATGATGAGTTTGTGGCATAAATCATTCCCCCAAGCACAGTGACAAGCTTTGATGTACTCAAGAGTAGGCTTCTTTCACTGAGTTCAAAGTTCGGAAGTTCAAAGGCACTTCTGATTAGAAATTAACCCAACACTTTACAAATGAGAAAGGAATGACCTATTCCATGCCTGAAAAACTTGGCAGAGGCCATTCCCACAAGCCAGCAGACCACCAGCGTGCCCAGAAATGTCTCACAGAAGAGAGGTTGAGTTCAGGGGCAGCACAGACAGGAGAGTGACCTCATACAGTCCTGCCTTGGAAAACAGAGAGCCCCTTGACTTCTCCAAGCCTTGTTGGTAGAACAGGTCTGCAACACAAGCTGTTATGTGCTTTATTTACAGTGCTCTGCATCACTCCTACCACATGGTAGATATTGATCTGAATATCTAGGAGGATTCCCACCCTTGGGATACCCTACCAGTCCCAGGCTGTTCAAGCAAATCCAACCTTCCTCTCTTTTCTTGTGTGGCATGGACACCCCTAAGCCTAGAGGCAGCAGATTAATCACTGAAATGCATCTGGGCAAGGATCTTTTCAGCTGACAGGCATGCATCCAAGGATGCTGCTGCTCCCTCCCAAAAGCCAAGAAACACCTCAGCACTTGTGAGGTACTTGGGGCACCTGGGCAGCTTCTGCTTGCACAAGGCACTCGCTGTGGGAGCCAGTGCTGAAGATGTGAGAGGGGCAGAGGGATGAGCGCTTCAAACTCGAGAGGCTCATCTGCTGAGCCACTCATGCTGCGATTCACTGGGATGAGAACAGGCAGACAATGTCTACAAGCTAGGAGGAAGGCCTTGAAGAACCCAGGACAATATTGGGCTGCTGGCGTGGGTGAACAGAGGCTGCTCAGTCAGCATGAGATTTGCTGGAAAAAGACAAGAATTAACTTCTGTTGAACACAGGGAAGGATTGCACTTTCCCTTTAATTTAACTGTGGTTTTTAATTTCTGTACTTTAAACTCAGGCCTCAAAACCTGTCATGTCTTCCATTTCTCTGGTCACCCTGTACAGAGCTGGGGGGTGACCTGTGCCTGAGGCTGGTAATCTGCAGCCATCATTCCCACAGAAGTGGTGGTTTGACACAGGGGGAGCCTGCAGGCAGGAGAGAGGCACTTGTGCTTTTGGTCATGCTTAAGCCGTCCTCAGTCTGCACTGGGGCTTGTGCTGCCGGAGTTGGAGAACAGTTGTGGCAGAGGTGAACATAACCTCCTGCAAAGAACAGGCAGGCAAAGGGCTTGCAGCAACCTCCAGGGCATACACCTGCTCAACGAGGATCCCAGCCTGAGCTTAGATCCTGTTTGGGATGGGAGGAAAATTGAGACTTGTTCAGGCATGTGATCCCAAAATCAATATTTTCACAGCTCAGGGCATGTGACGTGTCTCTGGAAGGTGCCTGGTGAGGAGGACAATGGCTGGCACAGAACTGCAGCTCCACACAGCTCCAGTCACAGACCAGCCTGCACACAGGCATCTGTGAGCTGGTGCCTACAGCCCATGCCTCTAGATTTCCTTTACAAGCAGGAAAATTCCTTGCATAGCACCGCACACTTTCCAGAGATGTCCTGTATTTAATGGGACTGGAGGGCATAGGGTGGGATTTCTGGCTGGCAATAGAATTTCATGCATTTTTATGTTTGCATTTCATACCAAAGCACAGAACTTCACACTAACAGTATATTCAGCAATTGCACAAACACTTCCTCCAGCTATATTTTAATGTTTTTGTCCAGTTCTCTAATGGATAAACTCAGCCTGTAGCTTTTGCATGCCATGTCCTAGCTCTCTTTTACAAAATCAGGTTTTTCTTGTATGTATTTAGAAAAGTTAACAGTTCCCAGAATACCACATGAACAAAATGCTCTGGGCCATCTTTCCAAATAAATCCTTAATCCTCAGACATCACTGAAAGTAATTTTTGTCAATAGTGTGCAATCCAGTAGAAAAACAAAGAGCAGTCATTAAAGAAAATCAAACACACTGGTGTCTCCAGTCTCAATGTTTGGCATCCGCTGGCATTTTTATTTTGCTGGCATTTGTCAAGCAATTTACAATCAAAACCCACTGTTTTGTCACCCGGAGACTTCTGAAACATGAATTTGCTGTTGAAAGATTTTCTAATTCCTGTCCACATAAAATAACTACAGCAAACACTGGAAAAGAAAAGGAAACTGAACTTTCCCAGAGCTAGAACCAAGTAAAGAGATTTCTGCATCATCCCATTGCCTGCCACTATACCACTTTTTTGAAAATAAAAAGTGCAGTGCAATATTTAATTCCATATAATACCGCCAAAATCAGAAACATGCTCAATTTCCCACATTATAAACTGCAACTTAAGTCAAAACTATTTAAGAATTTCTCCTTTTCTAAAAGACAAAATGCATTTATGATATGAAAAAAAGATACTTTATATAATTATAATAATGAATTTTCAAAAGTAATTCTGCCCTTCTTCACCCGGTTTGCAGCTAAAGGGAATTTAAAAGCTGCAATGAGCACATAAATGAGCCACTGAAATAAACAATCAGCTGAGAAAAGACACTTGAACAAAGAGGAAAACAAAGAGGAAAACAGAAGAAAACCCCACAGTGCATACCTGGATCTCTATTATCAGTGGAAAAGGCTTTATTTCTTTGCAAGGGCAATGGCAAGGTAGAACTACTGCAATGTAATGGAAGAAAAATACTTTCCGTATGGGACCATGAAAGCATTAACATAACAGGCAAAGCACATTATGTCCTGCCCTTGGCAAATGTCTTGCTGGCTACTCTGGACTGTGACCCAGCAAAAATAAGCAGTCCAAATGAATTTTCTCCTAGGTAATATACTGCTTCATTTACTACATGCAGTAGCGGACTGTTTCTTCAGGAGTCAGCATGGAGGCCGGCTGAACATTACACTGAAGAAATAGGAAAAACATGGTGCTGCACACAGATTGCACACAAAAATGAGCTGAAGTGTTGCTTGGTTCACTAAAAAACTTCCAAGTTTGTCTGATCCAGTCAATATTTGAGTAGGCAATGCTCTCAGTAGATGGGAAGATGAGGGGAACTTGATCATATCCCCCAGCACAAACACACTGACATTGACACCTATGTTTTAAGATTTTTTTTTTGTCCTCATCTCTCGTTACTGCCACTTTTATTTGTGATTTCTTACGCTCAGAAAATTTAAATTTAATTTTAAATCTGTCCTCTTTATCCAAGAGCCTCTACACCTGAAGGCAACCCCCCCCTTTCACTGGAGGGTTTTACCCACTTCTCTTTGAAATACACACACCACGTCAGAAACCAAATCAAACCAGAAGGATCAAAAGGAGCAGTATTGATGATGGATCAAATGCACACTAACCACAACCGGTTTATTGATTTTTGAATCTGTCACATATTATTTCCTTATTCCCTTTGTTTCTGAATTGCTTGAGCATGTTGATCTAAGACAGCTTTTAACTCCGCTTTGTCACCGTGACCTTTTTTGATCCCAGTCCGTTTGCTCTAAAATTAATTACACTGCAGAAGCTGCTTTGCTCCAGGTTGCGATTTTCAGGTTCTCAGTTAAATTATATCTTTCTATGCCACCAGCTGGGACAACTGGTGCTTGACAAACAGTGGGCCAGGGACAGAAAACCACAACACCATCTTCATGGCACAACCATTCCCTGAGTAAAAAAGGAGCCCCTGTGGGAACTGGGGTGATGAACCAGAGGAAGGCATGTGGAAGAGCTTCCTTGCAAATAGAGATGCTGGTGGAAAGCTAAAAGGCAGAAACTCACCTTCGCCTGTCTCTCCTTCCTTCAAACTGGAAACTGGAACAAATAAATGCATGGTGAGGGCCAGGCTACACCTAAGCAGGGCTAGGTAAAGAGCACGTGTACATGATCACCTCACTCATGCTGTGCTGCAGCTTATTTCTGCCTCCTCCAGGGCCTTTGCCAGTCTCCTCACATCTCCTCAACCACTCTCTCCAGTTGCTGCCACCCCCCATTAGGTGAAGCACACACTGAACATCTTTGCTCCTTCATCCACGTGGGAAATGATCCCTCTTTTCCAGGAGCTTGTCTCTTCTTTTCATCCCTGCCCTGCTGTCTCAGGAAGGGTATTCCACTGGCAGAGCTAAAGGTCTCTGTGTCATGTGCCCCCCTTGGGATTTTCTCTTGCGTGTCCAGAGGCATCCTAAAAAAATAAATTAAAAAAGAGGATGACCATGGAAAATTTCCTGTGTGTAAACAGCTGAAAAAGTAGTTAAATGCACTGCTGTTATGAACTGAAATGCACCTATCTGTGAAAAGAAGATTTCAGCATGTGTGCTAAATAACAGGGTAGCAGGGACCACATGGAATCATGTTCTGGGCACAACATATAATCTGTGATCATTAGTGCACCTGGGTGCCACTTAGAGCTATAATAAATCAAATGCAGCCCAGTGCTCCTCCATCTGCTCCAGCGAGGTAACAAAATCACAGGGTAATAAAGTCAGGTTAGGAGGGACCTCCAGGGGTCATCTAGTCCAAAACACATCTAATCAGATGGGTTTGTTCAGGGCCATGACCGGTTAAGTCTTGAGCACCTCCAAGCAGGGAGATGCCTCTCTGGGCAGCCCGCCCCCAGTGCTTGACCATCCTCCTGGTAAACAATTTATTCCTAATACCTAAAGGGAATTTCCTGCCTTCCAACTCATGCCCCTTGTCATGTTGCTGTGCTCCCCACAGAGGGTCAGCTCCTGCTTCTGCGTGTCCTCTGGCTGGAGCTATCCTGGTGCCTGTAAGAAATCACAGAATCCTCCTACCCAGATCTACCAGGTGCTCAGGAAAGAGCAGAAACCAGCTGTGGCACACAAGGGCAGAGGACATGCTCGGTGGGAAAGCATTCCCACTGCAGGGAACCAATATCCAAACATTGTCCTGCCACTCAGGCACTGGTCAGGATCCAACTTCTTTGTCTTTATGGCTCACTGGCAAGGATCTGAACTTCTGAACACCGACTGCTCTGGAAAACCATTTTCCTTTCTGCCTGCCCCCTCAGTTAAATAATTTTAAATTCTATTACTTACAATATTCCTTTTATTTTAAAAACTTTCTAAAATTTTGCACCTTTCTAAATTGCATTACATAGGCTCTTAAAATCTGTTTTAGATTTTAGAAATTATATGTTCTTAAAATCTGTCCAGATATTTCCTGCCTTTCCACAGCAATCTTAGCAAAACTTAATTTGATGTGGCGGCCACTTCTGACAGACAAGAGCTGCACCTGTGCTGTTGGCCAGGAGGAATGCACCTCCAGGAAAGTAGGAGATGCACTTCTTCACATTTCCTGCTGAGTTTGTTAAACAGGTTATATCTATTTTTAAAAGATTGTATTACAAACTTTCAGCGAACTACACAGGCTTTTCTCAACAAAATTAAGGCAAGCTGAAAAAAAAAGAAAGAAAGAAAGAAACAAAGCATTAATCACAGTGTCAAGAAACAAAGTCAGTAATGTCCGAATGCACTGAACAGAGAGAGGGAGAGGGGAAAGTTTATGGCTTGAGGAATGCAATTTTTCACTCCTTTAAAATGCTCTGGATTGTCAGTTCCTATTAATTTTTTACTTTTTGTTATGTAATATATGAACTGCATAGCTAAAAATCATTCTTGTCCTGGCAGTTTACAAAAGACATGCAGTAATTTAATTTAATTATTTTTTCCACCACTTAAGAAAAACAACGATAGCACCCCCATCAAGGACTGGTGATTATTAACTGATGTTCCCAGTCTGATGGATTTTTTTTTTTAGGTGAGACAGAAACATTCCTTTGCTTGCTCTCTTTTGAGGAAGAGGATCTGGTTGCTCATTTTTTAGGCGGCACTTTGTTCTGCACAATGCAGAGTGCCCTGCAAGCTCCTCACTTACTGTTGTGTTAATCTCCTCTAACCTACATGCCAGTTTGGGGTGCCCTCTCCAGACCTAGCACTGCCAACAGACCCAAGTGATGACACTCTTATAAGCCTGTCTATGTTCCCTATGTCTGCCTTACTTTTTCAATATTCAGACTCTCAGGAAAACCCTAGCAAACAAGGAAGCTGTCCTTCAGCTGAAGAAAAATAAAGTTGGGACTTTTTCCTTTTGCACAAGTGCTCTAGCTACCCTGGAAATCATAACATGGCAAAGCCAGGAAAGAGTCTCAAGTTGCCCAACTTATGCATGGTAAAATTACAAGAAAAATTACTCCAGGACAAAGGCATGACGACCCTAGCCTGCTTATCCTGGCTGCAGAACAAATGCTGTTGTCATCCAGTGTTTAACTTATGAGGCAATAATGATTACTTGTAATTTTGAGCCTGCAAGAGCTAAAATAATATCCTGTATTTCAGACTTGAGAGCAAAACTGTCTGTGAAGGGCTCTTCTGTACATGGCAATATAATAAAACGTTTGTACATTATAAAAATTCAACTATTTATCAATATTCCAGCCTGATTAGTAGAATGTATGTATGTAGTTCAAAAACCTCAGTAGCCTGGGGTTGGTCTCTGCTGACTGGAAGCTAGCCAATGTTATTCCAATCTACAAGAAGGATGTGAGGGAAGGCCCAGGGAACTACAGACCTGTTAGTCTTACTTCAGTTCCTGGAAAAGTTGCAGAGAAGATCACACTGGGTACTGTCAAAAGGCATTTAAAGAACAATGCGATCCCCAGGCACAGTCAACACAGGCTCACAAAGGGAAAATCCTGTTTAGCTAATTTCATATCCTTCTATTATAAGGTCACCCACCTGGTGGATGAAGGGAAGGTGGGGAGTTTTTCTGCATTTAAGTCAGGGATTTCATAATGTCCCTTACAGCATCCTTCCACACAAGTTGTCCAGCTGTGGGATGAATGGATTCATGGTGTGCTGGTGAAGGACAAAGTCCAAAGGGTTGTACAAAGGGGCCATATATGGATGGTCAATGGTCACCAGTGGCGCTCCTCACCCCTCGTTCCTGGGGGCCAGATCTGTTCAATATCAGCAATCTGATCCTGGGCTTGAACACACCATTAGCTGATGATTCCAGCCCGGGAGGTACTGTTGATACACTTGGGGGACAAAAGGTTTTGCAGAGTGATCTCAATACATTGGAGCATTGGGCAATTAATGGGATTAAATTTAATCCTATTAATGGGATTAAATTAAAAAAATCTATGTGCTATGTACCTAGGACAGAGTAATGCTGGGAATAAGTATAAACTGGGAGAGGAGTGGCTGGAGAGCAGGTCTGCAGGAAGGGGTCTGGGGCTGCTGGTCAGCAGCAGGATCAGTGTGAGTCAGCCAAGTGCCCTGGCAGCCAGGAGGGCAAATCCCTTCCAGGAGTGCATAAAACAGAGCATCACCAGCCCACCAAGAGAGGAGATTATCCCTTTCTTTTTAACACTGTTGTGGTCTCACCCAGAGTGCTGTGTGCAGTGCCAGGTCCACAATTTAAGATGGATGTTGAGGTCTTTGAATGCAGCGATAGGAGGACAACAGCTGGTGAGAGGGCTGGAAATCACGTCCTGTGAGGAGTGGCTGAGTGCTCTGGGCTTGTCTTGTTTGGAGAAAAGGAGGCTGAGGGGTGATCTCATTGTCCTCTGCAGCCTCCTGAGGAGGGGAAGTTGAAGATGATCTCTTCTCTCTGAAATCCAGCAATAGGATGCATGGGAATGGCTC